AGATGCGTGAGATCGGTTTTCTTCCAAAAAAGAAGGACTTACGTTATTTCTGCAGCATCAATAAGCAGCTTCTGGTTTTGGGCCTTCATTTGGGTCAGCAGGATCTCACAGGAAGTCCTTGAGATGAAAAGAAAAAGAAACGTGTCTTTAAAATAATGCCACAAAGCAAAAATAACAATAACTTTTATAGAAGAGTTTGAGATTTTTCACGCTTTCTTGGTTAAAAGCATCATTCAGGAGTTTTCTCCCACGTTTTTATTCAGCATGAACAAAATATTTCAACTTGATATTTTTTCATGTTCCTTGTAAAAGCCTTTTCACATGCTCGTGCATTTTCATTTGTAATTTTGTATTTGCCAAATAAGGAGGGGTGTAAAGTGCATTGATTCATCCGATGTAGCATGAATACATGAAATAGCCACAGCTGATCGCGGCTTCCCTCCGGAAGTACGCTCGTGTTATATTTAGCTGCATTTTTCTAATTTGCTAATAAGAATCAGACGTGAACATTTTACATCAAACCGCACAAACAGCTGATGCAGAATAGCACTACATTAAAAGCTTCCTGTTTGTTTTAAAGTTGATCTGCATTAGCAGAGAGAAGCAATCTGCTGTCAAATGGCAAGCTGTCGCCTAACTCATACTTCAGATGATCAAATCAAATTAAGACAATTTTCAAATGTTTTAGTTTGTCTTATTTGCGTAACTTAAAGCTACATGAAGTAGGAATGACATCCTGTGGTCAAATGGTAAAGATTTCAGGTGACAATTCCTACGTTTAACTCATTCACTGCCATTGACGACTAAAGTCGTCATTTTAGATCCAACCGTTCACTGCCAATGACGACTAAAGTCGTCATTGGCATTTTTTTTTACAGTTTGAGCATCGGAACGAGCCCCCGCGCTGAGAGAACAAACATCTCAGCCCTGAAGCTGATCTTCATCCGCATACGTCACAGATCACATGATCAGGAAGCAACACATCCATGTGTTTGGAGATCGTTTTGGGCCGTTCCTGTAAAAAAAAGTGAGGCGCGAACCGGAAAAGCGTCTGCCGATCACAATTCAACAACGGATTATGAAAAAATGGATACGGCTCGAAACACGCGGACTCTTCCTGATGTAAGAGGTGAGTCTCCTCTTTCTTTTGGTTGTTTTGGCATCGGCATCATGCTAGCGCGCAACGTTCTGTGACTCTTAAAAAAACAGTAAAAACAGTGAGAAACGCTGGCAGCGAAGGCCGTTAGTGATCAGGAAACGGTTGGCAGTGAATGAGTTAAAGGTGTGGATCACTGAAAACTAATTTTCAATGATTATTTCCGATTATAATCGATCACTGAGTTTTTCAAGCAGGTTGAACATGAAAATAGTCTCCTACATCTATCTCCTGCATTAGCTTCTGATAGAAAATAAACGTTGAAAATCTAGGATTTGAAAATCCTGCCAGATCTGCATCACACTGTCACTTAACATTCATGGACTCACTCAGCTTGACTCGCAACAGCGAGGACTGTTGGTGGCTCAACGTCCAGAAAACAGCGGAGAAGCTAACCATTAGCATTAGCTACTTCACCAAATGGCAGCAGCTCCTCCAGCCTTGTGTTATTTGTGCAGATAAAACATCCACGTTGTAAGTTAGTGGTAGAGTCGCATTGCTGTTATCCAATCAGAGGTGAGATGTTCAAATATCAGGAAATAAAGATTCCAAAACCTGCCATCTGAAGCTCAGCTGTGATGCGAGTCACTGCTCTTTCTTGGAAAAGTTGCACCAGTAACCTAGCCTGGCAAGCCAGACTAAATAAATGTATTATTTAGTCTGGCCACGCTCCATTGACGGCTCTCGGTTGTGGGGCGGGTTCTACCGTTGTCTTTCAAATGATCTCCGCATTCCACTGGAGAATGAATGTGACATACTCTTGTTTCACTCTGTTGCATCATCCCACCCACCAGGCATATAGAGCGCCCTGATTGGCCCACAAAGCGGATAAAGCTCTGTGATTTGTTCACTAAGCAGATAGAGCACTATGATTGGCCCACCATTACGGACCAACCACAGCTCTTTATGTGTTTGAAACCCCTCTAGAGAGCTGTGATTGGCCAGCCAGAGTCCTGGTAGGAGCTGCAGACGTTCCAGTGGAGCATGCCTAGACCAAACTTTGCAAAGCAAGAATTTGGTCTAGTTCACTAGGCTACCAGTAACCCCCTTGCCCCCGAGAACGACTTAAAGAGGCATTCATTCCTCCTAGAGACCACTGCAAATGTACAGATTTAATGAGTGAATATACAGAACCTGATTCAATAAATATTAACAGACACACATGCAAGTTTCATGACTATAACTCCTTGTTCCAACATGAAATTTTGAATAAACATTGTGTAAAAATTCCTACCTTTGCTCAGTGATCCAAAGATGAACATTTCTCAAGACCAGCCGACTCTCTTGGTGAAGATTTGCGTTACTAGACTGTGCCCGTACCAACTCTGAGTGAAGTTTGCTAATCTGTAATGTTAAATCCATGAAAATATAAATGCTGGAATTCTGAAAAACAATGCAAAACAGTGAGCATAGAACATGTTTTATTTTTTCCTCAGATTTGAGATTTTTGTGCTGCAGGTTTTCGGTTGTCCTTTCATTTACCAATATTTTTGTGTCCTGCATGCATTTAAATCCTCTTTTTTATCTGAGCAAAGCTTTCACTTAAAAGTATATTTTCATAAACATTACCAGGGCATTTACCATAGTCTAAAGTGTCTCTTTCATGCATACATACACCGACATCATCACAGACGTGCCTATCACGTTCAGAATAAAATGTGAGTTTTATGGGGGCAAAGGTGTGATTAAAGAAAGGCTAAAAAAGGGGGATAAGTGAGGCTCTAATTATAGGGAGGCAAAGGAAAGAGGGATATAAATGTCAAAAACAAGGGATAATAGAAACATTAGGAGAAATTGGGTAAATGGAGAATAATGGAGGATGAAAGAGATGGCATTTGCAGACGCAGGTATAAATAGCAACGTGGGGGATCCAGCAGGAGGGAGGGAAGATGGTGGATGGGAGGGAGCTGAAGATTAGATTGGAGAAATAAAAAGGTGTGTGTGGAGGTGAAAACTGCGACTGCATGGCAGTGGCCAAACTGCTGACTTTTTCATTCTGCTTATCAGTCAGGACCTTTACGGGCCTAAACTCTGGGGACCCTGACATATTACCCTTATCGCCATAGAAACACCTTGATATACCGTACCATCTTCCCACAAAGACTTGGACAAACATGGGAAAAGTTTCCAACATGTCGGCCACAATTTAACATAAAAATGTCAAATGATTACCCCGAAATGTCAAAATACCAGCTGCTGCTGTCACATGAATGTCCAGGTGTTTGTTTATCAGTGTGTGTCTGCGTGTGTGTGTGTGTGTGTGGAGGGGGGTGGGGGAGGGGGGGGGGGGAGTCTAAATATTATGACAAATATTTTCCTGCTGATGTGTGGGCAAAAAAGAAAAAACATCACAGACTTAGAAGGAACTTAAAATATATGGATAACAGATTCTGTGGATGCAGAAGAGAGAAAAATCTAGAATTCTTGGAATAAAATTATGAAAGAAATGAACAAACTAGGAGAGAAAGAAAGTAAAACGTAAAGGAAGGACATCCAAATTGTTTTACTTTTGCTTTTGTGAAATGGTCAAGGTCCGTGACACCTTCTCATTGGCCTAGTGGTAGAGTGCTAACACTAGCATACATAGGCCGAGATGGTACGGCTCCCATCTACCTGAATCCTCTTGCAAAGGCTTACGTCTCGGCCCGGCCGCTCCGCTCATCACAGGATCGTCGGCTAGCAGTGCCTACACCACGCTCAGGACAATCCAGACTTTTCTCATGCATCGTTCCACAAATGTGGAATGACCTTCCAAGCACTACCAGAACAGGAGCTTCCTTTTCAATTTTCAAGAAGCTCCTGAAGACCCTGCTCTTCAGAGAGCATCTTCTTAACTAGCACCCTCCCTGCACCCGTCCCCCCTCTCTACTGTCCACTCCTTGTTCCCTACTCTCCACGACTGATGTCAAGTTGTTGTTCTTGTTAGTCTCAAGGGCAACATGCCGATTATCACTTGTAAGTCTGCTAAATACATAAACAGAGTGTCTGCCCTGGGACAGGGGCTCAAATCCTGGTTGGGTCATACCAGACCTTAAAAATGGGACCCAATGCCTCCCTGCTAGGCGCTCAGATTTAGGGGTTGTACTGGGGGGGGGGGGGGGTGTTAAACCACCAAATAGTTCCAGTACATGGCCACAGCAGCAGCTCACCGCTCCACATGGGGATGGGTCAGATGCAGAGATGTAATTTCACCAGTCTGTGATGACTAATGGGAGTTGGACTTAAACGCAAATGTTAAACTTAAATGGCCTGTTTTTGATGTAGCACTTTCTAGAGTTCCACAACCCCCCAAGGCACCTTACAACACTGTCAGTTAATCACCCATGCACACATGTGTTCACACGCCGACGGTGACAAGCTAGAATAATAGCCACAGCTGCTCTGGGGTTCACTGACAGAAGCCAGGCTACCTTTCACAGGCCTCACCACTCCCTCAGAACATCACCCAAAGACAAGGAGGGTGAGGTGTCTTGCCCAAGAACAGAATAACTATAACAGACCAAATGGAGGGCATATGATGTGATAAGTTGCAGTTAGGGTTGTGCATCTCTGGTGTGTGGCTGATACGGTAAACGTTTAAATGCACAGCCATCAGTCTGATTGATACATTGATCACTGATGCATTATCATGAGTTGATGGCATGCAAGATCTTGTGATCCAATGTAAAACAATTTGACAACGCAAAGAAACATTTTAATTTACAAAGCAGGTTAACTGAGAAACAGTTCACTTGTTTGTTTTCAAATATGATTGGTCACTCACATGCAGGCTGAACGTGAAAATATTCTTCTACCCTTATTTCCTGCTTTAGCCGCCAATAGAAAAAAAAGATCAGGAAATGCACCAGTTAAAATTGTCAATCTTGGCCCACGACGGGGAAGGGTGTTGATCTCGGCTAGTAAGAGCTAATCGTTAGCATGTGCAACACCACACATGGCAGAACTCCTTCAGGCTTGGGTTAATTGTGGAGATAAAATATCAATGTTGCTGAGCAAATGGAGGCAGTGGAAAAGTCACATTGCTGTTAGCCAAATCGGCTAACTTCTGCTTCCTGAGACAGGAGTGCCAGGAAACAATTCCCAAAGCATTCATTCATACCAGAGACCACAGCAGACATCTTGAAAAAAAAAAATAGGAGCGATTGCTTTAAATCAACACCAAAAGGTTTTAACACTGAGCTATTGCTTTCAAACTGGTTTTAGTGAGTCAGGAAGGTGAGCAGCTTCACATAGGAGCTAAAGGAATGTCAGAGTGATGGTTACCTGGCTTTGTTGTTACTGGACTTAAAACACACACACACACACACACACACACACACACACACACACACACACGCACACACACACACACACACACACACACACACCAAAATTTTGGACACACCTTCTCAATCAATGTGTTTTCATTATTTTCATGACCATTTACATTGGAAGATTCTCACTGAAGGCCAGTGTTGGGAGCAACGCGGTACAAAAGTAATTAATTACTGTAATGCATTGCTTTTTGCTGTAATGTGGTAATGTAAGGCATTACAGGGAAAGAAAATGGTAATATTTACTCTGTACAATTGTCAGTAACGCGGTAATTACAATGCATTTTTAAACCCAGAATCAAGATGTGTTCCTTAAAAATTCTAATTGCGGGAAACCCGAAGAAAGATCCAGTATCTGCATATATTACGTCATTTATGGACTCAGCTTTGCGGGCAGAGAGGACACCGTGGTAACGGCTCAACTACTCCAGCTGCGTCCTGCACGCGGCCGCTGCAACATTCACAAAATCGCTCCACTAAAACAAAATAATTCACTTGCGATCGTTCATATCGGCGCATATTCTCTGGTATTTTGTGCTTTTCTGACGTGCTTTGCCTCAGCTGAGTTCATAATCTGTACCCCGGTGATTTCAACTCATTGCTGCTGGAGCGCCACGCATGTGAAGATCCCTTTGGCTGATGGTTAGAAAGTAGGAAGTCTAGGAAACAGTTTTTTCTGGAAGACGGAGAAAAGATGCAGCATGCAGGAAGGTTAGAGAGAGAAAGGGCAGGAAATTATTCAAATAAAATCAAGAAAACAAAACAAAGTGCTTGAAAAGAAAAAAAGTACGAAGATTTATCCCCAATACACATTTTTACCAGTAAAAAACAATAATATATATATACGCATTTAATATTTGTACATGTGATAGAATCAGATCACCCCAGAAGTCAGTCCCACATCCAGGGCCGTATCAAGGCATTTGGGGACCAAGGCAAATATAGGCTTGGAGCCCCCACCACCTCACTCCCTGCTCAGTTAATATAAGATGGCAGCATGCTGAGAGTACAGATTGTTGTTGCTTTTATGTAATAAACAGTCATTTTAAAGCACTGTTATTATATCTGACTGTTTTTAACAGCAATCCCAGCTCAGACACCACATCACTTTCCACATATATATCATGAGCTCACTGAGCGTCACATTACCAGATTCATACTGAAGTTGTATCGGTGAAAGTAACTTAAAGTAATGCAAAAGTAGTGTAATGCCTTACATTTTAAAATCAGTAATATTGTAATGTAACGAATTACTTTAAAATGAGGGTAACAAGTAATAAATAATGCATTACAGTTTTGAAGTAACTTGCCCAACACTGCTGAAGGCATCAAAACTATGAATGAGCACATGTAGAGTTATGTACTTAACCAAAAAAGGTGAAAAAACTGAAGACATGTTTTCTATTCTATTTTCTTCTAAATAGCCACCCTTTGCTCTGATTACTGCTTTACACACTCTTGGCATTCTCTTGATGAGCTTCAAGAGGTAGTCACCTGGAATGGTTGTCTAACAGTCTTGAGGAGTACCCCGAGGTGTTTAGCACTTGTTGGCCCCTTTGTAAATGGTCATGGTCATGAAAATAAAGAAAGCACACTGAATGAGAAGGTGTGTCCAAACTTTTAGCCTTAAGTATATATATATATATATATATATATATATATATATATATATATATATATATATATATATATATATATATATACTTAAAGAGAGCCATAAACTAACGATAAAAGTACTCTTACAGAGACCAAACAACTACATGACAAAGTCTTTATTTCTAAAAAAATATCATAAAAAAATCTCGTGGAAGAGGAGAACTAACAGAGAGGAAAACTGGCTCTCCAGGTATGTGATTTTGAAATCCTCCCCATGTTTTAGGTTAATGCAAAATGGTTTAGTTGCTGTTCAAGAAGACAGTAATCACTGGGTGTGAAATGGAGTTGTGAAAAACAGTGACATCTAATAATTCAAACGTCGTAGCACGATAAAGAATTACGTTTTAAATTGCATTTGGATTATAAGACGGTTGC